CCGCCGGGGTCCCTGGAGGATTGCCCAGGAGCGCAAACTCCACGAAAAATCCTCCCTAAAACGGCCGTTTCGCTCGGGACATCCTCAAAAAATCGCGAAGATGGCCCAAGATGGCCTCCAAGTCCGCCCAAGATGGTCCAAGACGGCCTCCAAGACGGCCCAAGAGAGTCCAAGACGGCCCAAGACGGCCCAAGAGGCCCCCCAGAGGCCTCCCAGACGGACCAAGAGGCCTCCAAGAGGTCCTCCGGGAGGGCCCACAGAGGCCAAAATCATTGATGTTCCTTAGGTTTTTGAAGTATTTTGGAATTTGCGTCTTCTCGGCATTCCGACGGCTCAAGACGGCCCAAGAGGCCCCCAAGATCGCCCAAGAGGCCTCCAAGAGGGCCCCATGACGGCCCAAGTGGCCTCCAAGATGGCCCCAAGAGGGCCCCAAGACGGCCCAAGAGGCTTCCAACACGCCCAAGATGGCCTCCAAGACGCCCAAGATGGCCTCCAAGACGGCCCCGAAGCGCCCCAAGAGGGTCCCCCGTTGGCCCAGAAAGGCCCCCAAGACGGCTCCCGACGGCGTCAGACGTGCCAGGAACCCACCAAGATGGCCGAAGTTGGCTCGAAGCTGGCCCAAGACGGCCCAAGAGGCCCCCAAGAGGGCCTCCAGGAAGGCCAGAAGAGGCCAAAAACATTGATGTTCCTGAGGTTTCTGACGGAGTTTGACATTTACTCCTTTTCGGCCTTCCGACGGCCCGAGACGGCCCAAGAGCCCAAACATGGCCGAAAGATCGCCCAAGAGGCCTCCAAGACGGCCAAGATGACCTTCAAGATGCCCACGTGTTCCCCGAAGGCTCTGCAAACCGATTCGGGGAACACATGGTCCGATGGCATGGCAGGTCTGGCCTCAACGTTCGGCCACATAGGCGCTTCCAAAGGCAGGGCGGCGGTGATTCGCCGTAGGCGTACTAGATCCGCCGCCCCCTGTCGATTCATCGCAGCGGTGCCTGGAGTCCTAAATTATTTCGGTTTGGGTTTTGGTTCTTTTCCCAAACAAACTCCCCCTGGTGCTTCGGCCCGTCCCGCCGGGGTCCCGGAAAGAGGTGGTTGCCAACGGTGTTCCTGCCCTAGACGGCCACAAGACGGCCCAAGATGGCCCAAGATCGCTGCCAAGACGGCCACGATGGCCTCCAAGACGGCTAAGATTGCCCCAAAATGCATTCACGACGGCCCAAGATGCACCAAAAACGGCCTAAGATAGCCTCAAGATGGCCCAAGACGGCCCAAGAGCCCCCTAAAGGGTCTCCAAGTCAGCCCAAGAAGCCTCCAAGAGGTTCTCCAGGAAGGCCCGAAGAGGCCAAAATCATTTATTATCCGTTGGTTTTTGAAGGATTTTGGCATGTTCGCCTTTTCGGGCTTCCGACGGCCCAGGAGGCCCCCAAGATCGCCCCAAGATCGCCCAAGAGGTCTCCAAGATGGCCCCATGACGGTCCAAGAGGCCCCCAAGATGCCCCCAAGAGGGCCCCAAGACGGCCCAAGAGGCCTCCAAGACGCCCAAGATGGCCTCCAAGACGGCTAAGATGGCCCCAAGATGCCTCCAAGACGGCCCAAGATGCACCCAAGACGGCCTGAGATGGCCTCCAGATGGCCTAAGACGGCCCAAGAGGCCCCGAAGAGGCCTCCAAGACGGCCCAAGAGGCCTCCAAGAGTTCCTCCAGGAGGGCCCGAAGAGGCCAAAATCATTGATTGTCCTGAGGTTTTTGAAGGATTTTGGAATTTGCGTCTTCTCGGCATTACGACGGCTCAAGACGGCCCAATAGGCCCCCAAAATCGCCCAAGAGGTTTCCAAGATGGCCCCATGACGGCCCAAGAGGCCCCCAAGACGGGCCCAAGATGGCCCAAGAGGCCTCCAAGACGGCCAAAATGGCCTCTAAGACGGCTAGGATGGCCCCAAGATGTCTCCAAGCCTGCCCAAGATGCACCCAAGATGGCCTAAGATGGCCTGGCCTCAAGATGGCCCAAGATGGCCCAAGAGGCCCCCCTAGAGGCCCCCAAGAGGCTCAAAAGGTGTCCAGGAGGTCTTACGGGAGGGCATGGGAGATGCCAAAATCATTGATTTTCCTATGGGTTTTGAAAGATGTTGGCATTTGCTTCTGATCGGCATTCCGACGGCGCAAGAGGCCTCCAAGATGGCCCCTACGACGGCCCTAAAGGCCACAAAGACGGCCCCAAGAGGGCCCCAAAACGGCCCAAAAGGCCTCCAAGGCGCCCAAGATGGCCTCTAAGAACCCCTGATATGCCCCAAGAGGGTACAAAGACGACCCAGACAGGCCACCAAGACGGCTTCCCACAGCGTCAGACAAGCCAGGAACGCCCTAAGACGGCCAAAGAGGCCCCCAAGAAGCCCCCAAAGGCCACCCAAAAACCTCCAAGAGGCCCCCAGGAAGCTCCCAGGAGGCCCCAAGAGTGCCTCAAGAGGCGCCCAAGAGGCCTCCTCCTCCTCCTCCCCCTTCCTCCTCCTCCTCCTCCTCCTCCTCCTCCTCCTCCTCCTCCTCCTCCTCCTCTTCCTCCTCCTCCTCATCCTTTTTCCGCATCCTCTCCCTCCTCCTCCTCTTCTTGCTCCCCCACGCGTTCCCTGAAGTCTTTCCAAACCGACTCGGGGAACAACTGGCCCGATAGCTTGGCCAAGCTCTGGCCCAGCTGTCGGCCACAGAGGCGCTTCCAAAGGGGCAGGGGGCGGCGGTGATTCGCCGTAGGCGTCTTTGATCTGCCGCCCCCTGTCGATTCATCGCAGGGGTGCCTGGCGTGCTAGACCCTTTCGGTTTTGGTTTTGGTTCTTTTTCCAAAAGAACTCCCCCTGGGGCTTCGGCCAGTCCCGCCAGCCACCCGAAATGATTGCCCAGACCTGGTTGCAAAAGGTTTGTCGCATCCAGACGGCTCCAGGATGACCCAAGCTGGCCTTCAAGATGCCTCCAAGATGGCCAAGATGGCCTTCAAGACGGCCTGAAAGGGTCCAAGATACTTCCAGATACGCCCAGGAAGCCTCCAAGACGGCCCAAGACTGCCCAGGAGGTGTCCAAGAGGCCTCCAAGACGGCCCAAGGGGCCTCCGAGGGGACCTCCAGGAGGGCCCGAAGATGCTAAAGTCATTGATGTTCCTTTGGTTTTTGAGCGATTTTCGGGTTTGTCCTTTGTCGACCTGTCGACGACCCAAGACAGCCCAAGAGGCCCCCATGATCGCCCCCAGAGCGTCCAAGAGGCCTCCAAGATGGCATCAGGACTGCCCAAGAGGCCCCCAAGACGGGCCCAAGAAGGTCCAAAGACGGCCCAAGAGGCCTCCAAGACGCCCAACCAAGCTGGCCTCCAAGACTGCCCTGGAGCACCCCAAGAAGGCCCTAAGTCGGCCCAGAGGGGCCCCCAAGACGGCTTCCGACGGCGTCAGACGGGCCAGGAGCCCACCAAGACGGCCCAAGATCGCCCTAAGATGGCTTAAGACACTTCCAAGAGAGCCCCGAGGAAGGCCCGAAGAGCCCCAAATCATGGATTGCCCTTAGGTATTTGAAGGATTGTGGCATGTGCTTCTTGTCGGCCTTCCGACGGCCCGAGTCGGCCCAAAGATCGCCCAAGATCGCCCAAGATCGCCCAAGAGGCCTCCAATATGGCCACAGAACGGCCCAAGAGGCTCCCAAGACGGCCCCAAGAGAGCCCAACAACGGCCCAAGAGGCCTCCAAGACGCCCAAGGAAGCCTCCAAGACTGCCCTGGAGCACCCCAAGAAGGCCCTAAATCGGCCCAGAGGGGCCCCCAAGACGGCTTCCGACGGCGTCAGACGGGCCAGGAGCCCACCAAGACGGCCGAAGATGGCCCGAAGATGGCCCAAGACGGCCCAAGAGGCCTCCAAGAGAGCCCCCAGGAAAGCCCGAAGAAGCCAAAATCATTGATGCGCGTTAGGTTTTGAAGGATTTCGGCATTTGCTTCTGTTCGGCCTTCCGACGGCCCGAGACGGCCCAAGAGCCCCCAAAGATCGCCCCAAGATCGCACAAGAGGCCTCCAGGATGGCCCCAGAGCAGCCCAAGAGGCCTCCAAGACGGCCCCAAGAGGCCCCCAAAACGACCCAAGAGGCCTCCAAGACGCCCAAGCTGGCCTCCAAGACGGCCCTGGAGCACCCCAAGAGGGCCCCAAGTCGGTCCAGAGTGGCCCCCAAGACGGTTTCCGACAGCGTCAGACGGGCTAGGAGCCCGCCAAGATGGCCAGAGAACACCCCGAGAAGCCCCCGAAGACCCCCATGAGGCCTCCAAGAGGGGCCCCAAGAAGCCTCCAAGAGGCTCCCAGGAAGCTCCCAGGAGGCTCCAAGAGTGCCCCCAGAGGCTCCCAAGATGCCCCCCTCTTCCTCCTCCTTCTCCTCCTCCTCCTCCTCCTCCTCCTCCTTCTCCTCCTCCTCCTCCTCCTCCTCCACCTCCTCCTCCGCCTCCTCCTGCTCTTTCCCGCCATCCTCCTCCACGTGTTCCCCGAAGGGTTTCCACAACGGCTGGGGGAACACATGGTCCGATAGCTTGGAAGAGCTCTTGCCACAACGCTCGGCCACATGGGCGATTCTAGAAGGCAGGGGGCGGCGGTGATTCGCCGTAGGCGTCTTCGATAAAACATCAAGCACGTTCGACTAGCCTCGGATCTCGATTTCTCCGACCTCTGTCTGAATGGCCTGAACCACTCTCCGAGATGAGGCTCCTGCGGCAGAGGCTGGCATGGAAATTGCGCATCCCCGGCTTGCGGCAGTGATATACTGTGCGCATGATCTCTGACACTACCACGAAACCACAAACGGCAAGAGGATGCGGACAAAGAGCCGCGGCAACAGGGGCAGGGAGCGGAGGGCAGAGCGGGAGCGTCCCCCCCTGAGTCGAGCGGCACCCGGGCACGGCGGGGCAGAGGCGGCGGCGAGGGCACGGGACACCTGCGGCGCGCGAGAGAGACGCCGCCCGCGCAGACCCCCGGGCTCGGCAGGAGAGCGGGCCGCCTGCTTCCTGCGCTTCTCCGCCGCGATCTTGCGCTGCTCCGACTCCCAGGCCCTCCGCGCGCGAGCGCCCTCCGCCTGTTCTCGTGCCTCGGCGGAGGCGCGGGGATGGCCCTGGGAAGGAGAGGGCGCCAGGTGGCCAGGAGAGCTCAGCGAGACCTGCCCCGCAAAATGAGAACAGTGCAACGAGGGTCGGTGCGAGCGACTCGGGATGGGGCCTACTGGCTCATCCTGTTCCTTTCGGACCTTGGTGAACGGAAAACCGCAGCCGTCTGTCATCCTCTGTCATCCTCCGCCTCCTCCTCCTCCCTGGCATGCAACGCGATGTCCCACCGTAATGTACGGGCCCGGCACGCGGTGCCGAAGGAGGCGTAATGTGGCACACGATCGCTGCGCCGCCCGTCACTAAATGGCCCACCAAGTGTATGTCCTAGCCTGGTGGCGCTGGTTGACTCGGACTCTGACTCCAGTCTGCGCACACCTCTCCCTCCTTCTCATTCTCCTCCTCCTCCTCCTCCTCCTCCTCCTCCTCCTCCATCCCTCTCCATTATGAACAACTTCTCCCTGTCGCACCCCCAGACGTGTTGGTAGGGCGGGCAGGGCGTCTTGCCTGAGATTTCCTCACCATGTATGATCCTGAAGCTTCTGAAACTTCCGACAGCTTCAAGGATAGAGGGCGGGTGGTGCTCTAAATGTTGCTCTCGCCTCAGCGCCGCGCACATTTGTCTTAAAAGATTTGCAAAAGGTTCAAAGATGGAGGGCGGGTTCTTTTTAAAGATGGTGTTCCCGCCTTAGCGCCACGCACAGTCGCCCAAAACGTCCGCAACAAGTTCAAGGATAGGAGGCGGGTCGTTCTCAAAATCTGGCCCTCGTCTCAGCACCGCGCACTTTCGCCTTAAAAGTTTGCAACAGTTTCAAAGATGGAGGTTGGTTCCTTTTCAAAAAACTGTGGCTCTCGCCTTAGCGCCGCGTACCTTCGTAGTAAAAGTTGGCAGCTTACTCAAGGATTCTCCTGGTTGAAATCCCAGGAATGGCGTTCTGCTACGATTGTCAGGACGCAACGGTCACGTTGATTCGCGGTGTTGGATTCCCCGGGACGGTGCCTGGCATAGTTTAAGAGTGTCCAGACGAAACCGGCACGATGATTCTCGGCGTTGAAGTCCCAGGACTTGCGTTGTGGCACGATGGGGGATTCTCAGAGGTTGTCTTCCAATGGGACATCTCCCACAATGAAAACAAATTCCGGTAGGATCTATGAAGAGTGACCTTAGAGGGAGGAATTGCTGCAACGTCGTTGATGCGTCTTGGGCTTACACTAGTCATCCTCCTCCTCCTCCTCCTCCTCCTCCTCCTCTTCGTCCCGCCCTCCCTCCCTCCCTCTCTCCCCAAACCCCCTAACCTCCCTCATCCTACTACTCATCTTTCTTCTCCTCCTCCTCCTCCTCCTCCTCCTCCTCCTCCTCCTCCTCCTCCTCTTCCTCAACCTTCGTTTTCCTGCCTCCTCCGCCCTGTTCCACCTCCTCCTCCTCCTCCCTTCCTGCTCCATCCCTCCTCCCTCCCTCCCTCCCTAGGGCTCCGTGCGCGACGCCGTGAAGGTTCCCGCGGGGGGCGCGTCTCACCCTCCACACTAAAGCACTATGCGCATCATCTCGCTTCGGGTGCGAGGAGGTCGGGTGCGAGTGCTAGCGTGCAAATTGCTGCATCGTGGAACACGCCGTGTCCCGCAGCGTCCACGGTTTCCCTCAGTCTCGACGACCACGCATCAAGCGGCCACCCCGTGCACATGACCAGAAGGCAGGTGCCTCCCACGAGCACCGTCGTTGACGGGTTCCAGGCCAGACTGGACATCATCATGGGCCAGTACATTGCCAACGACTCCAGTAGCTCCAATTGTAAAGGACGGGTGATTAGCAATAAAAATAAAAAGGACCCCAATAACCCTTTGGGAGGGAACCTAAGTCAGGAGGGTCAAAAACATTAGGGATAGGGGGTCTGATCTGGAGATGTGTCGAACCTATTCTCCCTGATGCAAAGACGGGGACCCCAGTGAGGCCACGTCTTCATTGTCTTAGTAGGATTAGGGGTTCTTCTGTTCTCGATGAACGGTGCCCTCCGCAGGGATGACCGTCCCCGAGGGCTGCAAGGTTCGCCATGGTGACGCCAGCAACAGCGGGGGGCCACAGGCGGGGCACCCTTGAAGAGGCCCCAACTGGAGCCTCCAGCCTGGGCCTTCAAGGCTGACCCACCTGCCGTGCTCCTGGCCCGAGTGCCCCAGGCGACGAGCTCGCCCGCATCGCTGTCGGTCACTATGCTTCTGGAACACACGGTGCCGATGGCGGGTCCTCCCGACCATCTGGGGGCGGCAATCTTGTAAGGCGCGTCCCTCCATATCTGCCAGGCCGCCAGTTTCTACCGAGTGGCCGCCGCCCCCGTGCACCTCGCAGCCAGGGCTGTGTTTGCTTGTGTTGTGGTGCCTTGCGTACGTGCGGGTGTGGTGTATGGGCGATCGTAACGGTAAATTGCACTGCTGCCTCGCTGGTGAGCTTCCTTCGAAGGGGGTCCCCCGATTATCCCTGTCGCTTTCCCTGGGGCGGGGCCCCAATTGGGAGGGGCCTCCCCTTCGGCCCCATGGCGGCCAACGCCTCGGGGGAAGCGGCGAGACACCGCTGCGGTTGCTGCGCACTTGCGCGGCCCCAAGAGGGTCGGCATGCCGAACTGCAGCAAGTGGCGTTCTTCGCGCCATCGCTGAGGTGGCCACCTGCCTGTGGCCGCGTTGTCTGTTGCTCTTACATGTTGCTGTTGCCGGGTGCTGTGAGCAATCGGGGATCGGCCCCCCTCTCCTCTCCCCCACTGCCGGCTCCGCTTTGACCCTAGTTGGGACCCCGCCCCCGCCCCCACCCCCCGTCGCCTGTTTTTCCTCCTTTCCTCTCTTGCCCCCTTTTTCCTTTCCTCCCTTCCCTGCCTGTTCCTCCTCTCCCCCCCCTCGCTGTCGTCGTCGTCGTGGGGGGCCGGCCGGGGGTTACTTTCCGCCCCCATTGCAGATCCCTAGGTTGAACCGCCACCGAATGGCCTGGCGGCCAGCACGCCGGATGGCATGTCGGGGCGTGGCCCGCCATGTGGACGCGGATCCGACGGAGCTGCATGAGCATGACTGGGCTGTCGCATGGAGCCGCCCGTACCAGCTGGCCCGTACGATGTCGACTCAGGCGAGATGGGTCCGCCCCAGGCGTCTCTGGACAACCCATTCTATAGACCAAGCTTGGTAAGAAGACGCGGCGCGGGAAGGCCAAAGCTCTTGGGTCGAACCCCGTCGATGATCTCTGGTGGAGATGCTGAGCTCTGGCTTGCAAAGCTCGCGAGCCTCGAGACCTAGAGCGGCCGCAAAAGCCAAGATCCAATGGAAATGGGCCAAGATCAGGCGGCGTCACATCATGAGGATCACTCCTGAAGGGCTCCTGCCGTGAAATCGGCTGGCCCTCAGGTGGGATCTTGGCTTGTCTTCGCGAATCGGAAGCCATGCAGCGTACTCCATGTGCCTTATTAAACGGACCCCCTAAAATACCAGCCCCCACTGCTTCTGCACACTGATACTCTGGCCCCCCCTTCACGGCAGGCGCCTAAATATTCCGACCCCCCTCTGGGAAAGGTCAGTGTTGTAGTTATGCTGGTGAACATGATGGGGCTGCGGTTACACAGTGATGACTGCAGTGGTGATCAGAACTCTGCCGGCTTGCGATGTCGACAACAATTATGATCAATATGATGAACACCATGATCGTGCGTGTGATGCTGTGTTACAGACGCCAGATCTATACATGCATACGCCACACACACATCTGTACCCATAAATAACAATAACAATACGAATAAGAATAACAATCGTAAGAATCATAAGAATAATGATAATCGTACTAATAATGGCAGCGATTGCGGTGGCGGCCCGAACGGTGGTTACAACCAGCGTGGAACGAAAAGCCAAGCAACAATGACAAGACAAGGAATGGGGAAGAGTGACTATACGTTCGGAATAAGGCGGGGGAATGGGAATCATCGGAGTTGTATGGAGCGGGCTGGGGAAGACTGTGAAGGGTGTTACGGAGCGAAGAACAGCGGAATGAAATGGAGTGGGCAGGAATGGGAGATTTTGGGAAGGATTGGGAGGGTCGTCGGATAAAGTGGGGACGAACGGGAAGCAATGATAAGGGGTGGTGAGGAGGAAGGAAGAGGAGGAAGGAGGAAGAAGTGGGGAGGAACGGGGCGGATTGGGAGGCAACGTGGCAGGATGAGAACACACAATCATTATCACCATCGTCATCACCACCATCATTATCATCACCGCTGTCACCAAAACCATTATTATCATCACCGTCACGTTCACAATTGCGATCACCACCGTCATCATGATCGCCGTCGCGTGCGGTCTTGAAGCATCTTTTGATCTTATTTGGGGCCATCCTGAAGGTCAGTTTCAAACCTCTTGCGCAAAATTGCCATTCAAAAAGCGCCTTTATACTCTGGCCCACCTTTCGCTTCGGTCACGCGAAACCGCCTTAATATTCCGGCCCCCCCCCCTTTGACAAAAGCGCCTACATATACCGGCCCCTGGAGCCGCTCAAGAAAGGATTTGGAGCATGTGCTGCTGAATCCCGTTCCAGCCTGCCTTCGCGGACCCGTCATTTCAGATGACTTGAGCCATCCTGGGGGGCTTGCAGATCCCCTTCCTCACTTCACCGCTGAATTCAGGCGCCTCGCGCTCCTGCTTGTACCCCTCTTGGAAGGGTGGTCCATCCGTCCGCTAGTGGCGCCCTCGTTTCTCGACAGCGACTGTTGGACTGGTCCTATCTTCCTCCTCCTCCTCCTCATCCTCCTCCTCCGCCTCCACCTCTTCCTGCCATTCCCCCTGCCCCTCCCCATCCCCCCCTCCCCCCTCGAAGTCCCCCCCTCCCCACTCCCTCTCCTCCCCATTTCCTTCATACTGTAGTCCTCCTTCCCTCTCGTCGTGGCATCAGGGAGGGATCCTGCCTCCTCCGACGCCCGACGTCAAAGCGTCGCCACGTGCTGCCCCCCCCTTTCCTGGCCGCACGCGCGGAAATCCCCGCGCGCCGATTGCGGCAAGGGTGCCACGCGTTTGGAGGAGCACGCTGCTCGCCCATTGCTGGGGGGGGAGGCCGCCCGGGACCCGCCTCGCCTCGTCGGCGCCGTGCGCCAGGGGTGGGGACTCTGCTTCGGGCGCGCGGCGTCCTCCTCGCGACGAGAATAGTCTTCCAGGCCGTCGGCGCGGCCGTCTCCTCCCCAGGGGATCGGGGCGGAGCTCGGAGCAGGAGGGCGGTGCGGCCTCAGACCTCTGACAGCGCGGCGTCGCAGGGCGTGGGCCCCGGAGCTCTCGAGACCATCACCATCATCCCTGGGGCCAGGCCCGCGCCGCGGACCGCTCCTTCGCGGGCCCCCGGGGGGCTCGAAGACACGGCGCCGCGGACGCGTGGCACTGCCAGAAAGCGCCCGTATGTGAGTCTCGCGACGCGGGGGGCCTCGGGGGGAGGGGGGAAGGGGAGGATTTTGCGGCCTGCGCGTTCTTCCTGCCGTCGCTCGGACTCGGTTTTCGTGCAGGTGTTTCCTGCCTCAGCCAGGACTGGCGGGGGCAACACAGCCCTGGTCTGCACGGGCCCAGAGGCGACCGAGTGGGCCCACGAAGGAAGGAGCGCACCAAAGGCACACAAAAAAAACGTCCGAGCGGCGCCCCAGTCTTCCTGTGCGCAAGGCCGCCCAATGCCCCTTTGTGGCCGTGGCCCCGCCGCCCCCGCGACCCCCTGGGAGCGCCTCCTCCCGCTGGTGTTGCTTCTGCGCCTTCCGCAGCGCCCTGGGCGGGAGAAGGGCACGGCAAGGAGGGAGGGAGGGCATGGTCACTAAAACAGAGGAAGGGAGGAGGGAAGAGACGAGAGGGAGGGAAAAGGATGGAGCACGACAGAGATTTTCAGAAGTGGGATTAAGATCAAAAGTACAAGCGGCAAAACCAGACGGGCGGGTCGGGCGGGCAGATCCTAAGAGGCAGGTCGGGCGGGCGGGCCCAGACGACCGGGTCGAGCGGGCGGGTCGCTGAAGCGTCAACCCAACATGAATCGCAAAGACGCTTCAAGCGATAGCGCGACTCCCAAATTAAAGAAAGGAATTCCTGCAAGCGAAAGCGTGATTCCTGAGTCGTGGGGGCACGTCACCACAATAAATCAATGAGGAAGTACCCCGCGAGAGCGCGATTCCTCCGTACATTCCGAAGCAATCCTGCGTGAAAGTCAGAACTTGAAATGAACTGTGGGGAAATATCGAGCGGCACCGGTGTTGTTGTAACCCGAAGGTCAGAGACGCCCAGTTTGAGGACCAAAATTTCCCTGAAAAATACCATGGCGAAGGACCCAACCATACGCAGGTGTGAATACCACTATGGTGCGTCTCCTCTTCGGGGTGTGCCGAAATGGGTGGCGGGGACACATGCGGGCGCAGTCATTGGAGTTTTCGGTGGAACTCTCTATGGGGCCACGAAACGTGTCAGGGGTGAGCCGGAATTGGTGGCGGGGACGCATGTGGCCACAGCCACTGGGGCCGTGCATGGGGACCCGAAACGTGTGGGACGCATGTGGTCACAGCCACTGGAGCCTTCGGTGGAGCCCCCAACGGGGCAGCGATCCTCGTGAGAGATGTGCCGAAATAGGTGCGGAGCCCCCATGCAACCCCTGTCACTCGAGCCGTCTGTAGAGCTCCCTATGAGGCCACGATCCTCGTGAGGGGTGTGCCGAAATTTGCGCGGAGCCCCCACGCAACCCCTGCCACTCGAGCCACTCGAGCCTGCCACATTCCTCGTGCAGGCTGTGCCGAAATGGGTACGGGGCCCAAATGCAACACCTGCCAATGGAGCCTTTTGTAGACTAGCCCCCTACGGGGCCACGGTCCTCGTGAGGGCTGTACCTATGTGCGTGCGGGGCCCCAGCGCAAACCCCTGCCATTGGAGCCTTCTGCGGAGCTCCCTGCGGGGCCACGATCCCCGTGATTGGCGCACCGACATGCCGATGCTGATAATGATGATGATGATGATGATGATGATGATGATGATGAGGAGGAGGAGGAGGAGGAGGAGGAGGAGGAGGAGGAGGACTGATGATGATGATGATGATGATGAAGAGGAGGAGGAGGAAGAGGAGGAGGAGGAGCGCAGCTGCCTCGGGGATGGGTTCGTCAGCCACGCGGCACCAAGACGTGCCGCGGGGGAGCGTCCGGCCGTCTACCCTGTCCGCACCCGGGTCAGGCGCGCGAAAGACACGGGGCCACTCCTGCCGAGGCCTTTGGCAGCGTGGTACGCTGAGCACACAGTACCGCACAGGCAGGAAATGCAGATCAGCTGCACAGTGGAGAGAGGGCCGAGACCGATGAGCCCGAGGCGACCGACAGCCGAGGCGGAGGCGAACGAAGGAGGCGGGAGAGGAAAGCGAGCCAGAAGCAAGTCGAAGCACGGACAAGAAAAACGAATGGATAATGTCATCTCCCGCTACGGCGAATTGACACCGACGGCACTTTTTAGTGGGTCCCCGACATCTCCTGGACGCGCACCAGCTGTTCGCCATCCCTTTGAGGACCGACAGGGACAGAAAACTCGGGACCACGGCGCACAAACGCCCGAACAACACCACGACAAGATCTACTTGGGGTTCGGAGACGGCGGGATGAAAATATCCAAGACTATTCTCAGGGATGGACAGACCTCCCTTAAATAAAACGCTGTTTTGTGAAAACGACCTCGGGCCCAAACCTGGCGGGCGCAAGCCTGGAAAATGACGGCCGCGGCGCCCTCTCGAGAACCGAAAACGGACAATTCACTAATCGTCGCGTCAGGGTAGAAGGTCTGCCCACCCCCGATATTCTCGGATTCAGAACGAACCGAGATTTCACTCGGGGAGGCCAGGAAGCACCAACTCTGCGTTGGAGGGGCGGCGTATCACCAGGGAGGCTGGGGAGGGCATTCAGGGTTTGATAGGCACGACGCATCTGGATGAGATAGGAACCCTTCCACCACGGACAGCATGGATGAGCAATCTGGGCGTCACCGATGACCCCGAATTCGTCGAGGTAAATGGTCAATTCGTGCAAGGATTTACTGTAGAAAGCGCACCTGCACTGGGCATCCTGATTCGAGCGCGACAACTGTCTGGCCTGCGCGCGAAGGCCGCGTACCTCGCGAGCCTTCAAGAGGTCACAGAAGAGAGCATTCCGAGGGGCGGCCACCAGGGCCCGCAGGGGTCCACGCTGCACCCGAAATACCTGGGAAGTCGGGAAGTAGAACTGCGCCGCGCGGCCCAGGACGCTGAAACCGAACGCGTTCCACAAAGCAATCGCACGAGTCAGGCCGAAGTTCAAACGCTCGAAAGCTCGGGCGCGCCCAGACACTTCCCGCCCACCTCGCCCCAGCCACCACCACCCCCTCCGCGGCCCAGGAAGACCCCGAGGTACTTGACGCACGCAACGACTTTGAACCAATCGGTTTTGATGCCAACGTTACTAAATTCACGAAGGAGAACGTCGGGGCCTGGCGCTGCTGGGAGACAGATGACACTCTTCTCAATACTCAGAATAAGACCAGCAGCCCAGCCTGCGACGATCCACGCTGGCAGAATAGCACGCAGAGTTTCGCGCGCATTGGACGCGCCCCTGGCCGCGCCGTCGGCAAAAACAACGATGGCGGCCAGCTGCCTAGGAACCCTGGCGAGAAAATGCCTCGTGATCGGGCCACAGGCCAAAGCGAAAATGCTGCCCGACTTGGGGCGCCCATGTTTATAATCCCTGGGAGAAGCCAGAATCCGCGACCCCTGGGGCCCGCGAAATCGATGAAGACCCAGACCTTGCCACGCCTAGCTTCGATGGCTCAGATGACACCAGCTGGCAGGGCCACGGCCACTGGGACAAACCAAATCACATCGCGGAGCAGACTCAGGAAGGCGAAGACTCTCTGAAGACGCCCACGGAGGCGCCGTCGGCCGCGGAGGAGCCCTTGGCCAGAAAACGCACGTCGCGAAATTGAAACACTCGCCTGAAACCTGGCCCTCAAGGACCCCCTCATAGATGGCGCAGAGCACTTCTAAGACCTCATCCCCCGCGCGAGCCCATGCGGAATGCGGAGTCCCGTCGGGCCCAGGCGCGCTGCCCCCGCGCCGCCGAATGATGTCGGCAAAAGCGTCAAACTCGAGCTTCCAGCGGATGCGATCAGGGCACGTCTGGATGCGCGGCGCGATTATCTGGCACGCACGCTCTCAGCAAAAGCCCCCGCTGCGAACCGACCCCCAGTGCCTAGCAAGCTCCCTCGCCGCCGCATCAGGATATGAGATGCGGCGGCCATTGGGCCCACCACCCCACGCAGTAGAACAGCGCGCCTAGCATTCCCCCGTGCTGTCCGGCACGAAAGGAGGCGAGCTTGCGATTTAGCTTTGCGTTGCGGGTGAATGCCATCACGTTCGAGATCACTCAATTGCCTGTGAATGAACCTCTGGAAGAGCGACGCGAGATGCCGATGAAAATCCGACTGCCGAACCCAGCCCCACGAATCGTAGTCGACGAAATGATAAAGCTTGGGATAAGCGTTCAAGGCGCGGCGCAGGAGATGCAGGTCACCCGCATCGGCTGCACGCATCGCTGACAGGGCTCACGAAAGCTTCTCCGCAAGCGACGTCGCCTCGCGGCGCTCGAGACGCACGAGCACTCGAGCAGTTGATCGGAGGAGGTCTCTGCACCCGGCAAGTGCAACAACTGGATCGGGACTGACGCCTCCAACTTCCTTCAGCACTGCCTGGGCACATTCAGGCAAGTCAGGCCGTTTGGAAACCCAAGATTGAATACGCGGCGGCCCCAAAGGCTTCTGGAATCCAGAGAGCACCAGAACCGCGGGACGTGGCCGGGCGGGAACACGAGGTCCAGGATTTCGTTAAGCACCAGGGAGTTCGGTTTCAGATCCAAGAGCAGGCCTGCAAACATGCTGGCATAGGTTCTTTCCAGCCGCCCCGCGAAGAGGACCCTCCCCCCACCCTCCACGAGTACGCGATGAGTATGCACGGGTTGAGCGCCTTCGATCTGCCGCCTGGCCTTGCCACCCGCGCGGAACGCGAAGTCGCCCATCATAAAGGGAGCGCCTTCGCGGCTGGCTGCAGGGTGGAACGAACCTGCCTTAGGACCGGCTCTCTGGCTGCAATGGAGAGCGAGGGGTCGAGGTGGAGGCCGAGGACCTGCAGGGCGCCCGTGGACCCGTGGAACACGACCTCGAAGCGCCCTGGAATGAGCCCCCGAAGAATGACACGGTGGAAGTCCAGAAGAAGACGAAGACGAGCGAGGACACAAACGCCGCCTGCAATACCCGACGCGATAAAAGAGCCAAGCTCGAAGCCCAAAAACTCCTTGAACGAGATGCTGGAATTCCTCTTCGTGCCTCCGTGCTTCTTGCAAGCATATAATATCACGTTTAGGCATACCTGTGACAATAACTGTGAACGCGTTCTGGACTGCGCGGACAAGAGTGTGGACCGAGGCAAAAAGGGCACGGCAATTCCACGCGACGATGCTCAAACTCTCGACAAGACGGCAGGCACGCGCACGCACGGGCGGACCAACGCCCCCCGAGCAGGAGGTAGAGGCCCCAGTAGAAGGAAACACCAGGAGCCGCCCGTCGAGCAGGAAGCCGAAGACGACAAGGAAGAGGCCGAAGACGCCCTGGGCCGCGCGGGCGGCGCCGCCGAGGAGGCCAAAGCCGAAGGAGAGCCCATGCTAGCCCGACACGTTGCACTCGCAGCCGCCCTGGCAGTCGAGCGGCGCAGGGCCCCCGTTGCAACG